ACTTATTGCACTTTTAATCTGTTTCCACTGGTTTTCCTATAAGTTTAGCACCTCATCAGCGGTTAATTCCACTTAACACCTCAGAAACCGCACTGCACCTGCTCCCACACCACTCGCAATCCCACCCACACCACGCTCGATTCGTATCCCCTGCGGCCACACCAACTAAGAAGCTGCTTAGCAGAAATAAGTCTACCATAAAGATGCCTGACATTATTCAAAATACAGAATACCGAAACTACAGAATTCCTCAAATGCCTACAAAGAAGATGGACTGGAATTGGGGGATGGGTTGGGGCTGGGGCTGGAATTCGAGGATGGGTCTGGAGTTGGAACAGCAGCATTGGACAGCGGGATAATACCAAGGATGAGTATGGACAAAAAAGGCCATAAACTTGAATGTCAAACGTGGCAGAAGCAGTCGAGAGGCAGCCACGACGAGTGGATCGAGTGGAGCGTGCAGCGCGGAGGCATAAACGACTTCATTTTATCTTAATGTGCTAATAAATTTCCCAAAGACGAAATCTCTGCCAAAAACCAAATAAATTTACTAATACCAAAATTAACACACGCACAGAGGCATAGGGGACACAAGAGGCATGCCACCAAAAATGAAATGAAGCGCCAAGCAGTTGACTGAGTGGCATGTGTGGAATCGAAGAAATGCAATTAAGGCAGCCAAATCATCTGGAGAGGAGAACCAGTCGGGAGTTCTTCGACTGGAGTCGACACGGAGAGGGAGACCGACCCGCATGATGTCTTAAGTGTTTAAGTAGCTAAACGCCTGACAACCGGAGAAGTTATGGCCCGGCCTGCAGCTTGATGTTGGCGCGTGCTCCATTGGGTGCTCTCCCACAATCCACATCTAAAGTATTCTGTCAACACAGGGGGAAAGGATGGATACCGAAAAGATCTGCACTTGGTTCTGGCTGCTGTGATCGACACTTGAGACTTGTGCTGACAATTCCACCCTCTCCTCACCCGCGGAAAAAGAAATTTCCCAAATTGGATGGATGATTCGTAACTCCTAAAAGGGTTCATGTGGCCTTGTGCTCATAAATTTGATAATGCTCAAGTGCGTGGCATGGCACCTGAGTTCGATCGATGGGGAAAAGCAATTCATTCGAATGGTTTTTCAAATTACATAAAGTTGATATCTCAAGTTTTATGATCATTTGATGGAAGAATGCAATTTATTTGACATTTATGACTGCAACAGCTGAAGAAATTAAAGATTCCCAAACTTTTAACAGATGGAAATATATTTAAAAATGAAGTTTTCTCTTTCTATTCCGGAAGATTAACGGTCAGTTTTATGCAATTTTTCCTATGCCTTTTCTTTGGGCCACCCGGATGGACGCGCCTTTCGTGCAGTTGCCACCCCTAAAAAGGGTCGCCACAGAGTGCCGCACATACGAGTACGACTGCGAGTATATGCAATCTCATATGCATTATTTTGCATGTCTGGCAATTTAAGCAATTCATGCGTAAAGGTCAAAAGATCAACGGTGACGGACTTGTGAGGGGAATGCCCGTCGCACTGAGGGAAGTTTTTCAATAGAATTTCTCGAGTTTTTCTTACGATAATGCTCTGATTTCCTTTTGCAGCATTTGCATTTGTCCATTGTCCAGTCCGCTGATTAGGCGTGAAGTTCGGATTTGAATAAGAAATTTCCGCATCGGCTGGGGGGGGTTTTCACAGCATTGCAGTTGCAGTACATTTCTGGCGGGAAAATGCAAAGAAAGTGTTTTCCTGGAGGAAGGAGTAGGCAATGGAATATGTTTCGATGCATAGAAAATGTGTAAATTTAGTATTAGTCCCATCTTTTACTGTTACTAAATCCTAAATTAAGTTAGTACATTTATGTTTTAATCAATCTTATTTGCTTTTCAGATAATAAGGTTCTTCCATATACTCGTACGGAGCTACATGCAGCAGCAATCCTCAGTCTGGTGTTAGCATGTATATTTTGCATAATTCTCTGATATTAGCTTATACTTATACATTTATTCTATTAAAATGTTGCCTACTCTAGAATCTTCTTGTATGCCAGAAGTTTTCCCCTTAAAAAAACAACACCCGATGAGGTCAACATCAACTAATTAAGGTCACTTTCATCCCAGCTTCCGAGACCATCAATTTTCCCTTGAAAAAACAGTCTTACAACACGTTCCGCCTTATTATGACCATGCGAACAAAGAACAATAAAAAATAGAGCAAAACCCCTGGGGAGGGTAGAAAAAAGTAACACTTAAAAAATTTGCAAACATGTTTTGCATACAGCAAAACCGATCATCAAATATTCACATTCACACAGCGGGGGAAAAGAGAGAAAATCGTTGGGTATTTGTTCACCCAGAGTCAGCAGCACCCAAAAGAAAAGAATCTTTGAATGCAACCACCAAAGGCACACGGCACACACGAAGAGATATCCAGCTGCTTGTGAGACCCACGTCACGATCTCGATCATGGGACAGATCTCTTTTGTGCACAGAATTGGAGCGAACAAATGCGAGTGCGAGTGCGAAAATCTACCCCATAATCCGTGCAGAAAAATTCCTAATCAAACTTAAGGAAACAAAAGAAAATCGAAAGGCAAGAATGTTGGGGGGAAATTTCCAAATGTTTATTTGCGTATCGAAATGTGCAAATTTTTCAATGTTTTTCCTTGCTTGAATATTCATAAATCTTTTTTAGGGCAAAAGTGCAATGAAATGTCTATGGCTAGAGGAGATGTACATATGTACATACTCGTACATATATTCATATTTACATAGAAACATATACATATATAGAGGAAGTCTCACCTACGAATGACAAATACTTGCGTTGGAGGCCTTAACAAATCCCACACAATATGATTCACTAAAACTACAACTTGATTTATCTTATTTGCGTTGACATTACCTGTCCGAAAGTCGCAGCACAATAATTGGTGTCATAAAAGTTAGTTAAATCATATTTTGGATGTCAGTCAGAATCGATGACATTCCCCAAATTAGAAGGAACTCCATTGCGTGCTGATTGCCTTGGCCATTGTTCTGATGACACGCCAAATGGTCTCTGTTTCCAGAGTCCATTCCCACCTGTCAGCCTAATGGATAATGGTTCTTTGGTTCTCTCTCGTGGCCCTGTTCATGGCCCTGTCCCCTGATGTGTGCAAACACACAATTACGTTCCGTATGACGAGGGCGTGTCAGGTGGCGCTTGTGCTCTATATAGGGATTGGGTATGGGTATGGCATGCCCATGCCCCCATCTGAGCAAACAATAATCACCAATTTACAGCTCGTCATCGAGTCGGGTAAATGGCGACAACGTAATGTCATTTGATGTTGATTTGTGATTGCTGCAATTGTATGTAAATTAATTATGGGGTTTCAGTGGTTTAGGGAATGCTTTTTTTTGTGCTGTTACCAAATGTAAAATATACTTTCCATGGAGATGGTTTTGTGCAAGTGAAAAACAAGTTTTGGCATGCAAATTGACAAGCCTATGACTGCGCCCAGACAACTCTCGAAAGCCTCTTCTATAAGTGGCAGAGACAACTCAATGATGTCTGTAAATGTGTTACGCTCGATCGGGGATTGAGGACTGTGGATCCCCAGTGGAGCAGACAGACAGAGAAGACACATCCCATCCCAGACACAGATACAGATACAGAGACAGATACAGAAGGAGATGCTGATCTGCAGTTGCAGATACAGTTGTAAATGTTGCAGCTGCCACAGCCACAACCACAGCGATCGAAGTGGCGCGATCATGTGCAGATTCTGTCTTCTCTTTGTGTCGTTTTTTGTTTTGGGAGCTTTGGGGCTGCAGATCTGGAAGCACTTGACATGAAGAAATAATTCCATTGAGTTGGCAAGTATGTCAAGAATCTCAAGCGAGACAAAATTAGACAAGAAGCGTGATTTACGGAACCCTTAAAGAGCAAATGCGATGACAATGTCTGGATGTGGATCTGTTTCTGTGTCTGCGTCGCACATGTGCAAATGGTGCTAAGAGGCGGACCTGGTCGACGCTTTCCTTTTCCCTCAGAGAACACAGAACATTGTGATTTATGGGTTTGGAATCGATTGGCCTGGAAACTCCAAGGCATACACATTCATACGTATAGTCAGAGCAGAACAGATCAAAGCAAATCAAAGAGACAGACAAGCTTTATGCTTTGGTAATTTTATATGGTTGAGCTTGAGCATCGCTCATCGATCATTGATCTTGTGATCATCGCATTGGGGTATTTCCAGACAATAAAAGACACACACAAATTTGTTTTTATGTTACCTATTTAACAGAGAGATCAGACCTTTGCGATCGTACACACGCCTCTTTTAGCTTCCGCGTCGTTTCGCGTTTTGTGGTTTTGCCCAATAAACAATTTTTGTTTACAAAAAGTAAAATGCTGAATGGGTATGACAAAGCCAATCAGTTCTATTCACACCTGGTCCCAAAACGAGAACTACTATCTGGAGTATACCGAAAGAGTTGTGCCAATAATTTGTCATTAAAATAGAGCCATATTATGGATGGGATGCCTTTCCCCCACATATTTAAATTAGTAAACCCGTATAGATTGATCTCCTAAATAAAAGAAACCGAAAATCGCATCCCAAAAATCCCCTCAAGCAATGCGTAATATATTCTAAGCAAATATTCCCAAAAAAAAAAAAACAAATCAAATTTGCATTAACGAACTAACTTTAGATCGCACGAGATCTCTGGAACCTGTTCTGTGGGTTCATTGTTTGTTTCGTCATTGAATGTTTTTTTGGAGACTTTGAGACTGGAGCCACACAAAAGCCGGTGTGGGGATTCTTTGCGGTTGCTTATATTTAGTCATCTCTCTATAACTGGTTTCCCTTTGGACATCGCATTTTGTTGTGATTGTGCTCTTGAATTCCATTAATATCGAGACGATAAGTGCTAGAACGAATGTTCGACCCGCGTCGAGAAGTCGAGTAGTCGAGTCGAGAATATAAAAGACGTACTCAAGTGCCGGCTTAATATCAGTTAACACGGAATCTTCATCGATAGAGGAAGCTACGAAATCAAAAGTGCGAAAATGCGTTGCGTGATATTGTTTGGATTGATTGCCTGTCTGGCCTGTCTGTCTATGGCCTGGGGCCTGGAGGAGTCGACCAACGATCAGGATCTGTCCCTGTCGCCTGTGGAGCAGGGCATCGAGCAGGCCGTCGAGGGCCAGGTTCGTGCTAAGCGTCAGTTCTTTGGCGGTGGCTTTGGACGCCCCTACTATGGCGGTGGATATGGTGGCGGCTTTGGACGCCCCTACTATGGCGGTGGATATGGTGGCGGCTTTGGACGCCCCTACTACGGCGGCTATGGACGTCCCTATGGCGGCTTTGGTGGCTTCGGCGGACCCTATGGCGGTGGATTCTACGGCTAAATGACTTTGCTTACCAATAAACGAAAACGGAAAGTGTGACAAAATCCATGTGTGTTGTTTCTAGAGTCAGGGATCTGGAGAGCAGCCACCAAAATTATCTCGAAACTTGACCTCGTCTATGGGAATATGTGTGACCCAAAAGCTGCGTACGTGAGAGGGCGAGGGCGAGGAGAATGCTGCTGGGGAATGGGAATATTTTAAAAATAAATAACAGAAAATCTCCATTTATTTATTAATGTGTGCTCCAGGTCGCAGCTTCCTTAGATACACAGACGTACTAATTTTGGCTTCTCCAGGGAACGCGGAGTTGGGGGGGAGGGCCTGCTGTTGGCTTATGTTCCCCGAGCTGTCACGATCTTTGTTTGTTTCCATCCTCTAGATGTGTGTGGGAGGGATTTTGGCTTTTCAGTTTTGCAGCAATCATCACGTACGATTGTCATAATTATCATTTAAATTTTTTATTAGCTGAACCCATGGGCCAATCTCTGGGTCTTTGTTCTGTCTGTTGCTTTGCTGCAACTGCTGTCTGCTTTAAGGAAAATAAATATTTAAATGTTGTCACTCGCACTGCCGACACAAAGATCCACAAAGATGGATATTTTTTGTTGGTTTTATTTCACTCCAGTAGTCTCAGCACATGTCATTAATCACGTTAACAATTATCCTTTTAGGCAGCCTCATCCTTGCTAATCAAATTTGCAACATCTGTGTTTAACTTGCCATCGAATTTTATTAGATCACCTCAATGATGTATTAATCCCCGCTAATCAACATGAAAAGCCCAGCAAATTAGCCACCAATACCCGTAGATGTCTATCGGTGGATGGGCTTATGTGTTTTTGTGGTTTCGGGGTTCTGTTTTCTGTTTGCTGGTTTCTGCTACGAGGCAAACAAAACGCCCAAATAAGTTACCCCCCGAACCGCATTGGGACGCCCACGCTTAAGGTCTGTGACTGGTGCTGTGTGGTGGGTGGGTGGTTGCCTGTCATTGTTTAATTGTCAATAGACATCGGCTTCTATCAATATCATAAAAGCTAATAATTCTCGGTTGGCTGGACGGCAAGAACTGGCTCCGGGACCATCCTCCCCCCTGGCTATGTAGGCATAATCCCCCACCGGATATGCTCAATCAAAGCTCAAAGTGTGCGTGCCAGGGGGAAGTCGAAGTACGAGTGGGTCTGTAGGTGTGGGAAGGCCTCAACCTCAACCTGTCTGTCGTTTGGGGGTGGCTCATCGCATTTCATTCATCATTTTTCGCCTTTTCAACGCTTGCAACCCTCCTTCGGGGCACAGGAGACCAGGACCAGGACTCTTGGACATGCTTCCTCTCTAACCTCTGTGGCATGGCATATCCACTCACTCCCCGATCCCTTCTGTGGGTAGCATGTTTTGATATTAAAATTGCGTAATTATAATTAACCACATGTGTGTGTGTATGTGTGTGTGTTTATGGGGGGGAGGACTATGATAGCGGATAGCAGGGAAGCGGTTTAGCATGTCCTTTGACTGCTTCCGTTCCACATGCCACACAAAAGCCAAGCCGTTTAAAGTTACTTCCAGCCGCCTCTTGTGTGCCACGTGTGGTGTAAGCGAGCTGTGGACTGTGCTCCGTGCCTCAGGGGCATAATCCATAACTTGGCGAACTGTCAGCCAATTGATATAACTTCCAGTTGACTCACAAGATAATTAAAAAAAAACGCAAATTTTTAATTTAAATATGGGCTTGAGCTTGAGATTGAGGAAGGGTTTCTTTGGGGACAGGAAAGCAGCTCACTGGGCCAACAATAAGGAATTAAAGAGAGGAGAATGTAGATAACAATTAGCAGCTGAATATGAAATAACAGAAACGTACTTTTTCCCACTCTTATCTTTCAACTCTTACTGGTTTTGTATGGATAAAGCTTCAGACATATATCATCTAATGCTTGTGGCCCACAAAAATCTCTAATTGTAATTAAGTATGGGAACAGTAGAAGATGGGAAACATCGAGCAACCAAAATACATAATGTGGCCAATAAAATGACTGTGAATCCCGAAAGCATTCACTGAGGGAGTGGTGGGAGCCGCAGCAGTAGAAGGAGTACGAGTACGAGTAGGAGTTGCACTTCAGAGAAATACCAGATACACAGATACATAGAGAGTTCCAACAGATGAGAATGGGAATGGGAATGGGAATGGGTTTTGGGGCGATTACAAACGTGTTGCCATTAGTTAACTTCAGCTTTGATTGATTTCAATTAATCTTGGACGCGTGTAATTAATCATTGAACACTTTAATATGGTTAACAACTCTTGACCAAGCAACGGTTAAAAAGGTTCAACGAGAGCCAGCGAACAGGCCAAGCCGAAGACAGACACAGAGTCAGACACAAGTCTTTTGGCTTTGGCAACACTGACAAAGTGACTGACCACAAAAGTTGGGAAGAAGAGGAAGGCTGGAGAGGATGGAGAGATGTCTGTGCGGTTGCCAGGGAAGCCGCCGTCTCTAAGAAAAATGGCCAAGTTTGGAAAATGCGTTGGAGTAATAGTCGGTAACGAACCAAGACACAGACACACATATTTCCATAGCCACAGTCTTGAGATTCAGCCGCTGTCGAAGGTTTAGACTCTGCCACATTGCCAGCCTTCGCTTTAGACTTGGCTGAACCTAAGATCCAGCTCCATCGCCTATGCCAACTCCTGTTTCCCCACCATAACTACATACAGCTCCAGCTTTAGCCCCCGACTAATTGTACTCAGATTTCGCGCCACTTTGGGTAGCTTTGTGGTCATGCCAACAACGTTCATGGGTCCGTGGAAAGCGGCTCGCGATTGATGGCTATCAATGCCGATGACTTATGGTCCAGCTCGCAGACTGAGGCACACATGAAGCATTGACTGCACCAATGGACCAGGCGAATCCATCCATCTATGTGGCACATTTGACTGCAACTCACTTTGATTATCTATCTTGCCCCGTTGGGGCAATTGCTGTGTTCTCTGCCACTCGTTCTCGCAGCGCTTTGATTTTCCCAGGCTGAACAAATAGCTGGGAGCTGATTTTGGTTTTGTGGTAAGCGATACATGGAAGGTGTCATTAGATCGCGGGGCTCAACTTCGCTTTGCATCAAATGGAGGGATCAGAATAGGGGCTCGACTTCGCTTTACATCAAATGGTGGGATCACTAGAGAAGCTGTGAAATGGTTAGGCAACACAAGACCCCATTCTGGGGGCACAAAGGAAACCATCCATTGAAAACCAATTGAACGAATTTCACACATGGGCGCTAATGAATTTAATGAAGTCATTTTTCTTTAACCGATTTACAAAACTACTTACAACCGAGTGGCAGTCAGCCTCTGGCTCTGCCTCTGGGGCACTGAGAACAAGCGAGTTCATAATTTTGCATCATTAATCATGGCCCTAACAAAGAGATCTCGGGCATCTACCGATCCAATACCATCCGATCCGATTGACAGCTTCCAAAAAAAAGGGGAAAGTAATTTAGGCAGCCCGATGCCCGCTTCGATCTGCTGGAGATTTGCTGCTGAGAAATTAAAAAACAATTGTTAATTATTAAATTTTAAATTTTACACTGTGCCACAAACATCATTTGATGTTCATTTCATCGGAGCTTACTGTGGGAGCTGCTACGTCGGGATCGCAGAGGGGCGCTGGGGGTCTTTGTGGCTCTGCCCGACACCTCACTGATGAGATCATTCATCAAAACCTTAACCTGGCTTCACCGAGTGAAATGAGTTGCCATTGTTGTGAGGGCTTTCATGGAGGAGAGACTCCTGCTTTTTGTCTTCTCCTCTTTTTTGGCATGGGTTTGGGTTTGGGTTTATTTTTGACTGCTCAATTATCACATTGATGGTGCCTGCATGTGCAGATGATTTTCGAAGACTGGCTTAAGGAAGTTTATTAGCTGGAGTTTGGAATGACTGTGGGATGCAGAGATGTCCAAATGCACAGAGGAACGAGTAAGGGAGATGCAAGTTGAGTTTGTTTCCTGTGCTTTAAAGTTAAAGAAGTTTTTGAAGGATTTGTTTATTGCATTTATCCATAAGATTTAAAAACTTTTTCTTCTATCCGTCCCTACTTTTCCATCATTGTCAAGCAATTTTTCCCTCTCATATAGATTCAATTACAATTTTTTTTTAAATCCCAACCATTTTAGCTTATGGAAAAACCATATTTCTGTATTGTTCTTCTCGAAGCTAAGCCCAAATTGCGTTTTTCTTTCTGATGACCAGCACACGGGACATCGGGGGAAATGCGATCATGACCGCAAAGCGTTGCGCTTCATTAAAATCGGATTAAAGAGCGGCCCGAAGAAGTCCTGCCAAAGGACACCCGGCGGAAGACGGCGCTGACCAGTGTCCCAGGGTTTCCCACGCTCCAGCCAGAACTGACTGTAAATCTTCGAACGTCTTCTGGCCTTTCAGTATGCAAAAGTACGCAAATCGCTCGAGATGGAAATGGTAATGGAAATGCGTACAAAATCGACCCAAAATCCACCCCAAAACGGTACACATCTCCTGTGTCCAGGTAATCGGGGTGGACAAGCGGAACCCTTTCTGGCGCTGGCCATAAAATTGTGTAAAATTTCATGAAAATCAAGCAGAAAATTTCATACGTACTGGACAATGTCCAGTCCGATCTTCCAAGGGGGTTGCTGCGATTCGAACTTGTCACTGGAGAAAGAACCCCTAAAAGACGAACCTACAAACACAAAGGTTACGGCGCGAGGGTCCGCCGGACACTCGAACTCGAGTTCAAAGTGCTACCTGGACACGCAGCCAACGCGCAGCATCAGCATCCCATCCTCAAGAATCTCAGAACCATCCAGATGCAGTCCCCAGTGATCTCTCGCATTGTTAACGCTGCCGCCTCTGACCTTTCGCTGTCTCACGCAATTAGGCAAAGTTTTTGAGGTCAAAAATGTATATTCCATTTGAATATTTTGCATTAATCTTTTTGCATGCGTCCCGTCCCATGCCCTTCCCTGGCATTCCCTTCGCTGTGGAAGACCTCCAGCGTTTGATTTGAATATGTGCTAA